CAAGGCAGAAGCGCTAACCACTACACCACTGTGCTGCCCAAGACTTGCTGATGGAGTGGCTTTCATGCCCTACTCAAGTGGCAGGGCAGTGGGAGGGGATGAAATTAAACTTTCTGTATGTTACCCCAGTGGGAAGATTTTAACTCTAGCTTCCCAGGAAGTCACTACTAAAAATGGGGAGCAATAAAAACACTCAGAAGTTCCAATACCTCCCTCACTACTAAACATGTGTATTTGTTGGTCTGTGTCCCCATTGAAGAAATTTCCCATCCATTCTCTATGGAAGTGAGGGCAATCTTCTGCTAGGAACTAGGGACACAAATGGCAATCAAAAATAAATTGCAGTATTTGGGCTTTCAATACTTGAGCAATAACCTGAAGAAATATGCAGAGGTCTAACACTTAAGTCAAGGGTAGTGTACAGACAAGAATTTTGTCTAAAGTTATTCAACAGATCCCAGGACAGTAAATTAACCTTGCCAGTATGTGCATGTACCCAAAATTAGTTTTGGTAATTAAACCAAGACTCCATACATTCGGTTGCATGCAAGTCAAAATGTACATGCAAAAGAATTTGTAATTGTGTACTAGTCTATTGATTTACAAATGTCTGCCTAGCTGCAGCGCTTATTACCTGCTTCAAGTGATGCAGCTGCCTATGTCCACTGTGCCTAAAGAATTAGCATCCTTGCCTCTTCCCCTCTAATTAGAGAAGTGATCTAAGAAAGACTATAGCTGAGAAGTAATATAAAGTAGTAATAGATTAGCCTTCCTGACTATACAGTGCAGATATGCATTTGGCTAAGTTCTTGGGAATCTGCTTGGGATTGTAATTCCCCTGCCTCAAAAAAAAAAAAAAATCTGATCAGCAGGATCACTTAACAGCTGCCTCCTTATACCATTCCTGAGTTTGGCACCAGATTGTTTCTCCATTACCAAACACTGTTCTACATATGAAAAATAAGAAACCCACACTGAGCTGCAGGACCACACTTCTAAGCATGAAGTCCATGAAGGCAAAGCCATGGACTAGGGTGGATCTAGAAGCTCAGAGGAAATGGGATGCCAGTCTGCATCACTATTTTAGATGCTGCTGGCACATACCTTATGGTGGATTTATACTGAAAATTATGAGAAATGCCACTACCAACCAAGTTTCTTCAGTATGTTGGCACACTGGCCTGAACAGGTATTGAAATTAAGAGTAACGACTTTATGCTAATTTTCCTCACCTGCAAACTTGCTGTAATTCTCCAAGTATAGGTTTCCTTTATCAAAAAGACTGTTTGTTAATTTGTTGACAACCCCAGTTGGTGGGTTGAGATTTTTTTCTAAATGTCATAGTCTACCAAAGCCTTAATAGTCATGACCAGTACAGTGCTAAAGGAAAGCAAACCTTCTAAACTTTCCACTGTAAGTCTGGTGTTGTAGAAAAAGCACTTGGATGCCAAATGATTCTTTTGAAGAAAATCCATTTCCTAAATGGCTGCTAGCTTTGAGGAGGAGTTGAGTGTCAAGCTAGATATAAACGTGATACACAAATTTAATCCATTGGGAAGTGGGAAGATGTTCAAGGTGGTGGATGACTTTCTGGAGAAGACTGAACAGCCAAAGCAGGTTTGTAGTACATAATACTCCAAGACTGCGAACCTTTGGAACATTACCCTGAGCGCCCCAAGAACTACGAGAAATGCCACTGAGCAGCATTACCTAAAGTAGAAGCCACTCAATTTGAAAAGCATGAAATACTGTGGAAAGTGCAATCCTGTGCAAAGGCAAATAAAAACAGAAAAACAAACAAAAAGGATTTCTGCTAGCATGAAATCCAAGTGAACAGATAAATCAACTCAATGGGGTCAGTCAGTGAGTCAGATTTTATTCAGTGTAAAACGGCGTTTTGGATTGAACTAGCATTTCCTTAACATCACACCATAAACTATAGGGAATTCCTTCTGAGAAACTTACCGCATCTTTTTTCTGATCCCCTTGCAACCAGGTATCAAATGTCACCACATCTTCCTTGCAATCCGCACCCTGGTCTGCCAAGAGCATGCGCATTGCTTCACAACGACCTGGCACACAAAGCAACAGTAAGCATTTGCCGATAATGGAAATATCTACATATAGAACATCCCATTACCTGTTTTTTTAAGAGTTGTGTATGGCATTCTGAATCTCATTTTCAGAGATGATCCACCTCTTGAATGTCACTGGATTCAGACAATTGATCTATTTATTTACTCC